GTTTGGTGAGGAATTCACCAAAAATAAGCAATAATGCCTTATTCAAATTTCAGAGATTTCTATGGAAAAAATTAAAGAAATAATAACCTCAATATTGTGTTATTGTTTTTTCTTGACACGCGATTTGTTTTTGTAAAGTATATTGATTCAGTCTCTATGACAATCTGCAGCAAAGAATAAGATATGAATGTCCACAAATATAAGGAACAAAAAGTCACGAACAAGTGAGAAACAAAGATTAAAATGAAGGATCATCGGAATTTTTGCACAAAGAATACTTCGGAACTTTGCAACTCTGAGAAAGAAGAAACATATTATGTTCATAAAAGTTCATAAATATCAGATAAATTTTCAATCTTCAAAGCGCAATATAGATAAGTGGCATGGCCTTTATATAAACAAGACAAGTCAGCTTATTCAACCAATCAGTATCTGTCAATATCCTTGATAATGACCCAGCTCAACTTATGCGTTATTTCAGTTGTGTGTGTGAACCAATTGAATGTAATGATAATTATATTCGCTGTTATCTAGCAGCTAGGGTGTGGGTGTAAATGACCTCTTTCAGTTTGAATAACAACACTCACACCCACACCCTAATACATTTTAATTGTAATAAAAGAAAATCATATTCCAATGAATTAGTCATCACCTTCAATTGGTATGGATATACAGTAAAAGTGTGAGTGTTCCTTTTTTTTTAACAATCATACCTACACCCTAAATTAGATTGAGTGAATGTATGAAGTTTATAACACATGTTGAAATAAGGATGAGTGTAGATGTGGATCTTTTCTTTGCGTTCACTCACACCCACCGTAAAACGGACAGTTGTGCAGAAATTTATTTGAGCTATAGTCAGAATATAGTAATGACAATTCATTTAAAGTTTTTCCGAGTCAAGTACATCATTCAAAAAGTAAATTTTTGCTTGTACAAAAGCATTTTTAGCAGCAGATTTTATAACGTATGTTCCAATTCGAAAAAAGCTTTTCAAAGTTGAGTAATATGAGTTTTCGTGTTGTACCAAGACTTATTGTATAGAAGTTATTCATCTTTGTAAGAGATATTTCATGATATACATGAATTTCAAGATACTCAAATGAAAGAAAAAAAACTAAAGTTCATTTCATGTTAATGTATTTTTCACAGTATGTACATAGTGATATGTTATATTTAACTTAAATACTGGAAGAAAGTAGAACCTGGCAATAGTTTCAAAGTCCAAAAATCGAATTTGTTACTGCTATATTGAAAGATCTAACATCCTTGATTAAAGCCGAAGTAACTCTGAAACGATGAATCAAGGAACAGTTTTATAAGATCATACAGTTAAGCTGATGAGATCTGAAGCTTTTCGTAATACAACTGAATTGTTTCAAAATTCACTATATTAGCTGGTTTCGATCATATATTTATTTAGGGGTCATTATTATTATTATGGAGTACTATGTCGATCGTTTCGCCCTTCATAAAGATGTTTTATTATTTACCATTATCTCATTGGTTTGCATTCCGATGAATTGTAGTTTATCATATCATATCATTAGTCGTGGCAATTGTTTATTCG